GGCAGTGAGCCACTCTCCTCGGCCTGACTTCCCCTCAGCACCGTGCCCCTGAGCGCCCCTAAGGGATGAAAATGCTGGGGGCCAGGCGGAGTCACGGATTCAGGGTGCTCTTGCCTCAGGCGCAGTGTGTGAGCCCCAAAATGAAGGGCCCAGCACAGGATCCTGCAAACAGCGCGGAGGAGAGACAGGAGGACCCCCGCTTCCTCTCCGCGTGCGGGGAGAGACCAGGAGGACCCCCGCTTCCCCTCCGCGTGCAGGGAGAGACGGGAGGACCCCCGCTTCCCCTCCGCGTGCAGGGAGAGACGGGAGGACCCCTGCTTCCCCTCCGCGTGCAGGGAGAGACGGGAGGACCCCTGCTTCCCCTCCGCGTGCAGGGAGAGACGGGAGGACCCCCGCTTCCCCTCCGCGTGCAGGCGCCTTCCCTCCCGGGACACGCAGGGGCTCAAACCAACGTGCGATGACTGGATGCAAACTGGAAAGCTAACTATACCTGGAGGTGCTCCTCACATCACCTGGCAACTCTGCTCCTCTGAGCGAGGCCACCGCAGCAGCAGCTCCCAGCTGGTCTGCAGCCAGGGCCCCAGGTGCCGCTTCAGCTGCCACCATCTGCTAAGGGCTGTCACTGGCCCGTCTGCCTTCCCTCTCCCAGCCCCGCTGCTCCCTCCCTCGGGGGTTCTGGGCGGACTAGATGATGCCATAGGAGAGCCCGTCTGAGTGCCGCGCTCACGGAAGGGCACTGGGGTGCTGCCTACAAAAGTGCTGATGACAAGGACGGGAACAGGGGTGGCCACGGCTTAATTAGGAGAGGGCCAGGATTCCTTGGGCAGGACAACCCCGGGCCCCAGTGTTGGGAGGTGAGTAAATGAAGAGGAAGCGCTTTTTGGAGAACTGACTAGAAAGACGGAGTTGAAGCTCAGTGAGTTCCAACACTGAGCACTTTCCTCACACTACGCAGTCTACTAGGCACTTTATTTAGAGTTAGGCCCACACCGGTGTACGTTTTGCCAGCTGTGTAAACCTAGGGAAAGCACTTACCCTCAGTTTCAGTGTCTCAGTTTCCTCATCTGTGAGATGGGAATGATTAGCGACTGCGCCGAGTTCTGTGCCGTAGAATTGTTGTGAGGATTAAATGAGCTACTGTGAAAGGTGCTTAGACCTGAGTTAGGCACTAGAAAGCATTTTGTGGCTAAACGGTAAACAACAGTTTTTAAAAATAAAATAAAACATCTCCTGTTTTCCTTCTTTGTCACCTATCACTGTCTACAGTCTCCTTGGCTGCTTTTCTCTCCTCCCCAGTGTCTTGACTGCCCCAGAGTCCAGTTTTGGGTCCTCTTTTTTGCTTTCACTACATATAGTTCCACTCCCTTGGCAATTACTTCCAGTTTCATGGCTTCAAATACTAGCTATCTGCTGATGACTGAGCTTTTTCCTGACCCCCAGCCTCACAGTATTTTGCCTATTTATCACCTCCACTTGTAGGCCTAATAGGCATCCTAACCCAGCAAGCTTCTCACTCAAACACCAGCCTCCCACTCTTATCTCCTTGACCCACAGCCCTCCCATTCCCACTGGAGGGCCAGTCTGTCTTTCCAGCTGCTCAGACCAAAACCCTGGTGTCCTCCATGACTCCTCTCTCCTTCACACCCCATGTCTAACCCATCAGGAGATTCTGTAGGTTTCACCTTCAGAATGTATTCAAGGCTCTCAGCTCATCTCACCATCTGTGCAGCCACCACACTGGTCTTGCTTGATGACAGCACTGGACTGAACACTGCATTTCCCATTTCTTCCCATCATCTCAACAGGCTATTCTCACAGTGGCCAGGGTGATCTTTTTACAAAGTAATTCCTCTAAAATCAGGGACAAGACACGATGTCCACTCTCAACACTCCTATTCAGCATGGTTCTGGAAGTCCTGGCCAGAGCAATCAGGTAAGAGAAAGAAATAAAAGGCATCCAAATTGGGAAGAAAGAAGTCAAACTGTCACTTTTGGCAGATGACATGATTCTGTACATAGAAAACCCTAAAGGTTCCACCAAACAACTGTTAGAAATAATAAACAAATACAGTAAAGTTGCAGGATACAAAATCAATGTACAAAAATCCACTGTATTCCTATATACTCACAACAAAATTTCAGAAAAAGAAATGAAAAACACACACCCAATTCCTTTCGCAATTGCAACAAAAAATAAACTTCACAAAGGATGTGAAGGCCCTATTACTGAAAACTGCAAAGCATTATTAAAAGAGATTAAAAAAGATGCAATGAAATAGAAAGATATCCCGTGTTCATGGATTGGAAGAATCAACATAGTTAAAATGGCCATATTACCCAAAGCAATATTCAGATTCAATGCATCTCCATCAAAATCCCAATGCCATTTTTTAAAGAAATAGAACAAAAAATTGCCAGATTTGTATGTAACCACAAAAGACTCCAAATAGCCAAAGCAATCCTGAGAAAAAACAACAAAGCGGAGGTATCATGCTACCTGACTTCAAATTACACTACAGACCTACGATAACCAAAACAGCATGGTATCGGCACAGAAACAGGCACAGGTCAGTGGGACAGAATACAGAGCCCAGGTGTAAAACCACACGTATATGGGCAGATAATTTTTGACAAAGGAGCCAAAACCACACAATGGAGTAAAGAAAGTCTTTTCAATAAATGGTGCTGGGAAAATTGGAAAGTCACATACCAAAGAATGAAACTAAATTGCTGTTTGTTCCCACATACAAAAATTAATTAAAAATAGATCAAAGACCTAAATATAAGATCTGAAACGGCAAGTTACATAGAGAAAACATAGGTACTAAACTTACGGACCTTGGTCTTAGAGAACATTTTATGAATTTGACCCCAAAGGCAAGGGAAGTAAAGGCAAAAATAAATGAATGGAACTATATCAAACTAAAAAGCTTCTGCACAGCAAAAGAAACCATCAACAAAACAGAAAGGCAACTGACCAAACGGGAGATGATATTTGCAAACAATGGCGCCAACAAGGGGTTAATATCCAAAATATATAAACTCAGTACCAAACAAACAATCCAGTTAAAAAATGGGCAGAGCACGTGAACAGACACTGCTCCCAAGAAGATATACAAACGGTCAACAGATACATGATATGATGCTAAACCTCACTAGCAATTAGGGAAATGCAAGTCAAAGCTACACTGAGATCCACCTCACACCTGTTAGAGGGGCTGTTACAATCAAGACAGGTAATAACAAGTGTGGAGAGGGTGTGGAGAAAAGGGAGCCTCATTCGCTGCTGGTGGGAATGTGGACTGGTGCAGCCACTGTGGGACACAGTCTGGCGATTCCTCAAAATTTAAGAAGAGAGTTACCGTTATGACACAGTAATCCCACTTCTGGGTATATACCCAAAAAACTTGAAAAAATGTATTCGCAAAGAACTACTGCAGCATTATTCATGGTGGCCAAGACACGGAGACAACCAGCGTCCTGCTACAGGGGACTGGATAGAGAAGATGTGGGGCATGCACACGATCTCATGCATACTCAGCCACGAGAAAGGCCGTTTGTGACAACACGGGTGGGCCGCGAGAATATCACGCTAAGCAAAACAAATCAGCCAGGAAAAGTTAAGAACCATATGATTTCACTCATATGTGGGATATAAAACTGAAATTCATAGACACAGATAACAGTGTGGTGGTTACTAGAGGAAACGGAGGGGGGTAAAGGGGGCCAAGCATATGGTGATGGAAGATGATTGAACTTTGGGTAGTGGGTACACAATGCAATATACAGATCATGTACCATCAAAATGTATAATTGAAACCTATATGACCTTATTAACCAATGTCATCTCATTAAATTTAATTAAAAAAACAAAAAGTAAGTCAACCCATCAGGTTTCTGCACACAACCTTCTGCCGGCTCCCATTTCTTGGAGGAGAGCTAAGGTCCTGCCAGTGGCCTGCACAGTCCCAGGGGCCTTAGGACTCCAGGTTCCCCCTCACCTAACTCCACCCCACTGCCCTCCAGCCACGCTGGCCAGGAGCGCCATGCTTGCAGACCTTCGTCTGTTAGTCCCATTTGCCTGGAATGTTCTTCAGCTTAGCTATTTCCTTCAACCCCACAAGCCTTTGCTCGTGTCATTTTTTTCATTGTTGCTTCCACAGTGGTTCTACTTAAAATCGTGACCCCCTCACCATGCCTGATTCCCCTCTTATTACACAGCATCTTTCACCTCTACTCTAATTTCCTAACTTACTATGTTTCCCGTCCATGTCTGCCACCCTCCCTGGATGCAAGCTTTGCAGGGGCAGGGATATTTCTGTTAGGTCACTCCTGATCCTAAGCTACCAAAGCATGGTCTGGCACAAAGCAGGAGTCCTGCACGTATTTACTAAGCGGATATCCACCAAATAAAATCTCCTAAGGGCTGGCTTACTCACTTAAAGAGACGGGTGAACTTGCTAAGTCAGGGTCCTGACGCAGGCCCGTGCTCTGCCTGCCATACTTTGCCCTCCCAGCATCAGACTCGGATTAGCCCAGCCCTGTTTCAAAGGACACGCTGCTTAGCAGTCAGCTTGTGTCAAATAGCTGTTGAAAGGTCATCACACGCCGAGCATGCAGTGGGTACATGTTCAAGGTCAGAGAGACAAATGAAAGGATCAGCAAATGCAGTTCATACGCTTCAGTAGTAAGTTTAGGTCACGGAGCTGTGTGTCCTTACATATTATATCCACTGTGAAACATCACTTCCCTGGGACCCTAACTGCCAAAGCCCGCACAGCTTTGGGAGGCCGCGTCCTGTGCAAGTTCCCTGAGACAGTTAAAGATCCCGTCCCCCCGGCGGAGACGGAGGCTCTGGGGGAGAAAAGCCCCCTACTCACCAGGATGAACACGGTGAAGAAGATGACGACGATCGCGGCCGTGATGAAGAGCTTCTTCCGCGGGAACACGGCGGCGGGCAGGAGAAAGACCAGCGCAAAGCAGATGGCGCCCCGGAGCCCCCCGTAGGCGATGATGAACTGGTCCTTGAAGGTCAGGGGGATGGTCCGGAACCAGTTAATGGCCTGAGTCAGGACAAAGACACCTGAGAAGGAAAACAGAGCCCCAAGCCAGACTGTGAGGCCGGGCGTGCAGCTCGGAGGCTAGTTTTCTGTGACTCTGTGACAGGGAAAGGACTTAGGACCCTGTCGCCGTCTCCCTCTGCCCGACTTGTGCTACTAGGCTCCTGGGTGAAAGCTCTTGGGTTAAAAATGGGGACTCAGAGGAGCCCAGAAAGGTTAACTTGGTGTATAACAAAGGCATGAAGATGCTCTCGGAAGAACAGATCAGGAAGAGGGAGAAGGGAAGAAAGAGGGAAAGAGGGGGGAGGGAGGAAAAAGGGGGGGGAACAGGAGCAGCGAGGAGCCGAGGCAGGTGCCGGGAAGGCCGACGCTGGGCGGCAGCGCAGCGGGAGGGCGGGAAGCAAGCCCCGTCTTCCAGGAGCTGACGGGCGGCCAGCTGGGGAAACGCGCTCATTACCCAGTGCTCTCCAGATCAGGCAGAAGGCCAGGGTGAAGCACACGAAGGCCCAGTTCCACTCGTGGTTCTTCCCCACGGTGGACACGCCCATGAAGATGAAGATCAGGGTCTCGCTGACGCTGCTCAGCATCTTCATGAAATACTTGATGGTTGTGTACGATTTCTGAGATACGTTTTCTTCCACATACTTGTTCATAGTCATTGCACAAGTGGTGATTCTGGAAGGAAAGATACAGCATCTGCCTGAACATGACAATGATCCTAATAAGGATAAGAGTTAGCACTTAAGAGCTAAATATGGCCACTCTTCTGCCCATGGCCACAACATTATCAATTTATTTTTTTTACAGGCATTTATTTTTTAATTTTTAATTTATCTTTATAAGTATTACAAAGGTCCTCTTTTTTCCCCTATTGGTCGCCTCCACTCTGTACCCCTACCCCTAAGCCTTCATGACACAATTGTCTGTGTCCATGGGTTATGCATATATGCCTGTAAGTTTTTAGGGTAATCTCTCCTCACCCACCTACCAACCCCCACCTTCCCTCTGAGATCCCTCAGTCTGTTTCATGTTTCTCTGTCTCTGGATCTGTTTTGTTCATCAGTTTATTTTGTTCATTACATTCCACATATGAGGAAGATCATGTGACACTTGTCTTTTTCTAACTGGCTTATTTCACTCAGCATAATACTCTCCAGGTCCCACCACGCTGTCTCAAAGGGTAAGGGACCCTTCGTTTCTGTAGCTGCATAGTATTCCATGGTGTAAATGTCCAAGAAGATGTTTGATATGATTTCAACCTTCTTGAACTTGTAGAGACTTGTTTTGTTTCCTAACATGTGGTCTGTCTTTGAGAATGTCCCATGTGCACTTGAGGACATGCCTACTCTGCAGCTTTGGGGTGCAATGTTCTGTAAATGTCAGTTAAATCCATCTGATCTAGTGCATCATTTAGAGTCACTGTTTCTGTGTTGATTTTTTTGTCTGGAAGATCTATCCAGTGAGGTCAGTGGGGTGTTAAAGTCCCTACTGTGACTGTATTGCTGCTGATCTCCTTTAAAGTCCTCCAGAAGACTGTTTTTTTTTTTCCAGCCTGTGCGAGTCTTTTGTTCTGAGATGGGTCTCTTGTAGGCAGCATATATTTGGGTCTTGTTTTCTTATCCATTCAGCTACCCCATGTCCTTTGAGTGGAGCACTTAATCCATTTATATTTAAGGTTATTATTGATAGGTACTTATCTATTGACATTTTAATTTTTAAAAAAAAATGTATCTTTATTGATTTCAGAGAGAGAAAGGGAGAGGGAGAGAGAAACATCAATGATGAGAGAGTTGTCATTGATCGGCTGCCTCCTGCACACCCCTGACTCTGGGATTGAGCCTGCAATCCGGGCATGTGCCCTGACTGGGAATCTAATGGCGATCTCCTGGATCCTAGGTCGATGCACAACTGCTGAGCCATGCTCAGCCAGGTGCCATTTTAATTCTTTATGCCTATGTTCCTCATTCTATTTCTTCTTATTACAGCACCTCCTTTAACAGTTCCTTCAGTGCTGGTTTGGTGGTGATAAACTCTTTTAGCCTTTTTTTGTCTGGGAAGCTCTTTATTTCACCATCTATTTTGAATAATAGCCTTGCTGTATACAGTAGTCTTGGTTTTAGATCCTTGCTTTTCATTACCTTGAATACTTCATGCCATTCCCTTCTGGCCTGTAAGGTTTCTGATGAGAAGTCAGCTGACAGCCTTATGGGAGCTCCTTTGTAGGTAGCAGATTGCTTTTCTGTTGCTGCCTTTAATATTCTTTGTCTTGGATTTTTGGCATTTTAATTATGATGTGTCTGGGTGTGGGCCTCTTTGAGTTCTTCTTGCTTGGGACTCTCTGTGCCTCCTGAACTTGTGTGACTTTTTCCTTCACCAGGTTCCGAAAGTTTTCTGCCATTATTTCTTCAAACAGGTTCTCTAACCCTTGCTTACTTTCATCATTTTCTGGCACTCCTCTGATGTGAATATTGTTACATTTCATGTTGTCCCATAGCTCACTTAGACTGTCCTCCTGTTTTTTAATTGTTTTTTCTTTTTAGTTCTCTGATTGGGTTATTTTTTCTACCCTGCCTTCTAATTTGCTGATCCCATCCTCAGCTTCCCCTAATCTGCTGTCTATTCCTTCCAATGTTTTTTATTTTTATTTTTTATTTCTACTGTCATTCTTAATTTCCTTCATAGTTTCTGTACCTTTTTTCATGCTGTTGAGCATCCTTACAATCAGTATTCTGAACTCTGTATCTGACAGATTGCTTATCTCTGTTTCATTTAGCTCTTCTTCTGGAGAATTTTCTTGTCCTTTCATTTGGGGCTTGTTTTTTGTCTCCCCATTTTGGCTGCCTGTTCGGATTTGTTTCTATGTATTAGGTAGATCTGCTAGGACTCCCATTCTTTTGGATGGTTTCTGGTGCAGGCCAGTGTCACATGCTGTTTGTGACTGGCCTTGAGTGCTCTGTTTGAAGTTTTCTGCACTCCACAGCTTATGGTTTCCTCTGCTGGGGCTGGGTGTCTTTGGACAGGACCAAGATGTGCACCAAGGTCTGCTTTTTCAAACCCTGGGTCCAGAAGTAAATCAGGTGAAGATTCAAAGCACCCAGAGGCTGTTATTCAGTCTCCACAGGGTGGAGTGGATGATTGTTATTTAGTCTCTTAATGAGCCTCAGGCTGTAGAAACTCCACAGGGTGGGGTGAGAGGTTTTACAGCAGGGTGGGGCAGTTTCTTCCCTCCCAGGCAAAGCTGATTGGAAGGTAAGTCTGCCTAAGAGAGATGCCCTCTGCCATCTGGGGGAATGACTCAGCACAGGAATCCAGATGGCTGCCCTCTGAGCTCTTTTCCCCTGAGCCATCAGTCCCAGACTCTCCTCATACAGCTCCAGTGCACTCTGCCCTCTCTCTGCCGGAGCCCAAAGTGAGTGGCTGCACACGAAAGTTTGTGCATTGGCTCTTTAAGAGGGTGCCTGTGGCCCAGCCGGGCGTGGCTCAGCGGTCGAGCCTCGATGTAGTATCCAGGAGATCGGGGTTCGATTCCCAGTTGGGGCACATGCCCGGGTTGTGGGCTGCAGTCGATCAATGACTCTCTCATCATTGATGTTTCTGTCCCTCTCTCTCCCTCTCTCTCTGAAATCAATAAAGATATATTAAAAAAAAA